TAATTATAAAGTTATAATCATATCCATAATAAAATTGGAGAAATAAATAGTCATTAAAAATTAAAATTTTAAAAATTACAACACACAATATATTATTAAAATTTACAACGCATAATATGATAAATTAAAAATTACAACACAAGAGAAAATTAAAAACTACAACGGACAAGATGAGAAATTAAAATTACAACACACAAAATAAAATTAAAAATTACAATACACAAGATGAGAAATTAAAAATTACAACAATCAAGTAAAAATAGATAGTCTTTCAAGTCTCAGAATTGGTGAATTCCTCCACAGATGATCAAATAGTGCATTTCGAAGTGCCATGTGATCATCTTTATTTCTAATATTTTTTTACCAAGATATGAATAATTCAGATCGAGTACTTTCATCTACTGCCATTTCGACCTCCGGCAGCGGCATTTCCATTTCAGTTTCGATTGGTGCACTTAGGTCACGTTCATCCTCGACAATCATGTTATGCAAAATTATACATGTGGTCATGATATCATGTAGTACATTTTTTCGCCAATAACATACTGGTCCTGCTACAATGCCAAAACGTGATTGAAGAACTTCAAATGCACGTTCAACGTCTTTTTTGCATGCTTCTTATTTCATTGCAAAATATCTTTTTTTCGGACCACATGGCTCATGAATTATTTGCACAATGGTAGACCATTTTGGATATATGCTATGAGCTAAATAATAACCCATGTTGTATTCTTTTCCTTGAATTATATAATTAGCTGGAGGAGCAATACCTTGGATTAGATCCAAGAAAAGATGAAATGTTTCTAGAACGTTGATATTGTTGTTGGAGCCTCGACAAACCAAAATCTGCTACAACTTCAAGAATGATTGTAGGCTTTCCACTACGACCAGCATATTGGCCAGCCCACGATGTAGGACAATTTTTCCACTTCCAATGCATGCAATCTAAACTCCGCAACATTCCTGGAAAACCACGTTGTTGACCAATATATAGAAGCCTGGAAATATCATTAGATGTAGGTCTCCGTAGGTATCGCTCGCCAAATACTTCAATTGTCGCCCGACAAAACTTTTTCATACTTTCAATTGCAGTAGACTCACTAATTTTGACATACTCGTCTATAGCATCTGCTGGAACGCCGTATGCCAACATGCGAAAGACGGCAGTTATTTTTTGTATTGGAGATAATCCAAGTCTGCCAACTCGATCCACTCGTTGTTGAAAGTAATGATCTTTGACTGCATCGGCAATTCAAAGGAACAACGAGCGAGACATTTTGTATCTTCTACGAAACATGGTCTCGTTATACAATGGATTTTATGAGAAATAATCATTGTATAACCTACGATCAGCAGCCTCTCGATCACGATTGATAACAATATGCCCGGGAAAAAAACCTCCATAGGAGGCTTCTTGGTTTTGTTGATTGAGAAGGTGTTGAATGGTTTTGTTGATTGAGAAGGTGTTGCATGATGATGTTGTTATTAGCGATAACACGAGACATCACTGCTTGTTTTTTACGAAGAGCAGTCATAATTCGTATATGATCATCTTCAGAATCATATGAAGAAGATGACGAATTGGCAAAATTAAATCTCATTGTAGAAATGTGGGATTGAAAAATATGATAAGATGTTTGAAGAGATTCAAGTGTGTGAAAGATTTAGTATATGTTATGTTCCTATAGTAGTGAATTTGAAAAGTGTGGTAAACTTTGTAGGGAGTGGTCATTTTCAGGTCAAAGTATTGATAGACGTGACATTCTTTGTAGTGGAAGGTCCTTTTCGGGTCAAAGCATTGAGAGGTGTGGGAAACATTGCAGTGATATGTCATTTCGGGTCAGAACATGGAGAAGCGTGTCACCTTTGCAGAGAGTGATCATTTTTCGGGTCAAAGCATTGAGAGGTGTGGGGAACATTGCAGTGATATGTCATTTCCGAGTCAGAACATGGAGAAGCGTGTCACCTTTGCAGAGAGTGCTCATTTTCGGGTAGAAGGATTAATAGGTGTGGGGAACATTGCAGTGATATGTCATTTTTGAGTCAGAAAACATGGTGAATCATGATCACTTTTGCAGAGAGTGCTCATTTTTCGGGTCAAAGCATTGAGAGGTGTGGGGAACATTGCAGTGATATGTTATTTTCGAGTCAGAACATGTAGAAGCGTGTCACCTTTGCAGAGAGCTCTCATTTTCGGGTAATAGCATTGATAGGTGTGGGGAACATTGCATTGATATGTAATTTTCAAGTCAGAACATGGTGAATCGTGATCACTTTTGCAGAGAGTGCTCATTTTTCAGGTCAAAGCATTGAAAGGTGTGGAGAAAATTGCAGTGATATGTCATTTTCGAGTAAGAACTTAGAGAAGCGTATCACATTTGCATAAAGTGTTCATTTTCGAGTCAAAGCATTGAGAAGTGTGGTGAACATTGCAGTGATATGTCATTTTCAGGTCTGAACTTGGAGAAGCATGTCATCTTTGCAGAGAGTGCTCATTTTTCGGGTCGAAGCATTGAAAGGTGTGGGGAACATTGCAGTGATATGTCATTTTCAAGTCAGAACTTGGAGAAGTGTGTCACCTTTGCATAAAGTGTTCATTTTCGAGTCAAAGCATTGAGAAGTGTAGAGAACATTGCAGTGATATGTCATGTTCAGGTCTGAACATGGAGAAGCGTGTCATCTTTGCAGAGAGTGCTCATTTTTTGGGTCAAAGCATTGAGAGGTGTGGGGAACATTGTAGTGATATGTTATTTTCGAGTCTGAACTTGGAGAAGCGTGTCATTTTTGCAGAGAGTGCTTATTTTTTGGGTCAAAGCATTGAGGGGTGTGGGGAACATTGCAGTGATATGTCATTTTCAATCTGAACTTAGAGAAGCGTGTCACCTTTGCAGAGAGTGCTCATTTTTAGGTCAAATCATTGATAGGTGTGGAGAAAATGTGATATATCATTTTCGAGTCAGAACATGGAGAAGCGTGTCACCTTTGTACAGGGTGTTCATTTCGCGTTAAACCATTGAGAGTGGAGAGGCCCATTCACTATAAAAGAAGACATGATATTGTAGTAGCTACGTCCCAACATTTATATTCTATACACTAAACATTCATCACATCTAACTTCTTGTAAGAATGTCGATCTGTTCATCTTCTTATAGCCGCAATGAAGATATTCTGTCAGCTTTATATAGATATTTCTCAGGAACCAATTATTAGGGTATACCAATCATCTGACTGATTTTGGTCACGTATAGTGAAAGCTTTCAATGAGCGAAGACTTGAGCATTGGGAGGTTCGTAGCAGAGATATATGCAAGCACGGATTCAAACAATCGTAAAAGTAGCCGAAAGACTCCATGCATGCATAAAAACAGTGGAAGATATGCATCAAAGTGGTGCTTCAACTGAAGATACAGTGAGTATTAAAATCTTATTATATTTTTTACTTATTAAATTTATTATTTATATTAGCTATGTTTGATTGTTTATGAAAAATTGTAGATGCTCAGAGCGAAAATGTTGTTCAAAGAAGATTCCAAATTCAAGTTCGGATGGAAATACGACCATGTTTGGAATATTATTAAACACTTTGAACAAAATTCAAGATGGAGCTTCGAGGAGGAAGAAAAAACAATCTAGTCGTTATCCATCTTCCGAGTCAGAAAATCCAACTCCCGAATCTGCCCGACAAAAATCCCTAGGTATTTCTTCATTTTCTCTAAATTTAAGCGACTCGTATCAATTTGCTACTGGTTCTCCATCTGAAAGACATATGGGGGTGAAGAAAGCCAAACTGAAAAGAAAGGTAAATGATGATTTATCATCGCTCACCTTTGAAGGAAGAAAACAAAAGACTTGTTGAAGAGATGAAAAATACAAACGACCAAATAAAACATCATTTGGAAATACGCGAAAGATCTCACACTTTAAAAGAAATGAGGGAAGAAAATAGAATTCTGTTTCAAGATGTCATTTCCATAGTAGATCCTAGAGTTCGAGCATATGTTGAAGCTGAAAAAGCACGAATCTTGGAGAAAAGAGTTCAACAAGCCCAATCGGATCCATTTTCAACCAATACATTTGGCCAATTTTTCAATACATTTGGCCAATTTTTCAATGATCTTGGAAAAAGCGGTGTCAACATGTCAGATTACTAAAATCCCGTGCTTGTTTTTAGTTTGTGGTTTTATGATGTATTTTTGTTTTTAGCATTGTGTGATGTTGTATTTCATTTCAACACTAGTTATTTCAATGTTTTTCTTTAAACCGTGATTTATCATGTATTAATGTTATTTCAATTTGTATTAGTAATGTTGTTGTTATTTAATGCTAGTATTTTCTTTTCTTGTTAAATAAAGATACCATAAATAATATGTGTATTTAACATTATTAATGTGAAATATATAAAATTAAATGATAGATATAATATTTATTATTTTAAATATTATACTATCTAATTTTTATGAAATTATTTTTTTTAGTATTATACATTATTACTATTATTTTGAAAAAATACAACAAAAAAAAAGATAAGACGCATAATTTTGCGACTGACACAAATTTGCGTCCAAAACAGGAGAGAGAAAACCAGCAACGCATTTTGCGATCCAAATTGTCGTTGGATTGGAGAGATTTGTATTGCAAAAAATGGGTTTTGCGTCTCGGTTGGAGACGGTATTAGGTCGTCGTTTTACCAGAAAAAAAGTATTTTTTTTTTTTTACTTAACGGGTTTTCTTATGCTGCTAGTATAAATTATTAAACTACTAACTACGAGTAATAGAGATCAAGATTTAGAAAAATTAAACAAATAAATAAATAAATAAATAAAATAATAGGTATTCGATTATTTCCCATCTATAAGATACTGATTTCCTCGTTCCATTGATGTCTAAGTATTAAAAAACTACTATTGGCTTATAAGCAATGGACGAATCACGTGTACATAAATGTTTATTGCAAGAAATCACATTCTGTTGCCTTAGCTCTCGAAAGTGATTGCGAACAAATCAACTCTGTGGTGATGGTTCAGGTGGTCCTCTAGCAATTGGCATGCCTCCGCTCGAACCCGATCTTGGCTTTGCATAGTCCACGAATATAACACGCCCGTTAAGTGGCTAAAAGCAAGCAACATGACACGCATGTTAAATTTTAAGTCGCATAACACAATAAAGAGAAAATTAAAGAGTGAAAAAAAAAAAAAAAAAAGATAAAACCTTTCCGCTCATCTCTGCAATTGCTTTCTCAGCTTCATCTTCAGACGCGTAAGTGACAAACCCGAAGCCCTTTGATCTGTTCGACCCCCTATCCATCACAATTGATGCTACCAAAAACAAAAACATTCAAGGCCAAGCATGATTAAATGGACCCCAAAATGATAAAGGGACTTAAAATAGTGATGATAGAAATTAGATATTACACCATCAATGACTTGACCATATTGAGAAAATGCCTCGTTCAGTCCCTGTTCGGTGGTGTAATACGAAAGTCCTGCAATGGTTTCACTTACATATCAAAATTTATTAATTCCCGTGTAGCAGCTCAAAGGTATGGAGTGATATAATGTTTTCAGCACGTGAATCATCACATGTTCAAGTATATCCAATTTGGAGGCAACCGACCACTCGACGATGCATCAAGCCTAAACTTTTGGGTGAACAGTTGAAGACATAAGAATATCCAATGGGACTACAAATAACAGAATTCTAAAATTATGTCAACCATCCAAGTATTTGTAACTACCATAAATATACAAGAGTCAAGTCAGTCTTAGTCAACCTACCTCAGACAGAATGAATACAATTGTAATATCCAGTAGAGGCTCGCAAAAACTTCTCCTTTTATTGGAGAATAATCAGATGCTAAATCCAAGAAACATGAAAGACTGTACAGCTACAAGGCGACATATTGATATAGCTCTACCAATATTTTACATATACAACAGTCACATATTTCGGTTAGGTAATTATGGAGGTGGACGTCTTTGGCTGAATAAGAGTTAAAAGATTAACATATTATAAACATTTTGGTTCAGCTTTCACGACTGCCGTGAAATTCTTAGGTTCAAATATTTTGCTATAAACTTTGGAAAACTATGTTCAAGCCCTTAAGCACAGTTGGAACCCAAAGGTGGGTTATAAACTCTAGGTAGACAAATCAAGCCTGCTCACAGAATTTATAACTTCCATGCATACTATGTTGGTAATTGTATCCATATGATTGGCCTCAAACAGAATTCAATCTATTTGTTTTATATAAAATGTGGACATTGCATCATTTGAATCAGAATCAGATTACCGATGGCATAAACTTCTCCGGAACTACATATACATACTTTGAACTACCTCCACTATCATTTCATGATTCACCAATCAACCCTTCGAAAAAATAACTTCAAGACTCAGACTACAAAAATTCCCAAACTCAATCTCCTTTTCTAATTACAATCAAGAGAATCCCGAATTCAGCAAGCTCAATATCGAGCTGAAGTCACTTGAACCGTATCTCATTCAATCTGAAGCTCAACTAAGACAAACATTTGCTCGTAATTCAGCTCGACCCCAAAAATCCCCAGCAAGTCAAACATCGAGCGTGTTGATTTGATTTGCAGATAACTTGACGCATTTTCAAATTCAAATAACAATACATCACATAAGGAATTACACTTCATAATTCCAAAATAAATTCGACGAAAACATAAGCATTTACGAGGAGCAATTTTCGAGGACATCATAAACCCGCCATAAACCCCACAAAGAACAATTAAAAAAAATGCAGAAAAACAGGGGAATTGATAGTATATTACTAAGAGGATGATAGTTCAAATTCTTGTGTCGGTCATAAGGTGAGATAACTAACCTCCTACGAAGAGCTTGGACGCTATGCCTCTGCAAGAAATGAAAAGTGCCGGAACAAATGAAGACGATGATAGAAAACCGGAAGCGGGCTTCGAGGGATGACATGAAAACGCGATGCTCTTTGACAGCTTTCTAATGGCCGCCATGGTTAGATTGATCAGTGTAGGGAAGGACAGAAGGGTGTTGGGTATGTATCACTGTACGGTAGTTTAGGGTCTGCCACTGCTATATTATTAGTGTGTGGGTAGGGAAAGGATACTATTTATAGTCAAAACAAATATCTTTTTTTTTTTTTTTTT